TAAGGGATCTCCTGTATTCCAGACATACTCTTTTTTATCTCCATTATGAAACATCAATCTGATTTCCCCTTGGTAATCAAGGTCAATCACACCAGCCAATATGGTAACCCCCTTCTTTGCCTGTTGATACAGAGGCATGAGCAGCCCAAAGTGGCCAGGTGGCATTCTTATGGAATGGCATTCAATGGGATCTGTGTTGTGTCTCCAGGTGAGAGCATTCCTGCCCTTGGAACTAAGATCTCTAGACACACAGAGCATATGGTTGTGGGGACAGAAAGCAAAAATTTTGTGAGTAGGTCAATGGGGTAATAGTGAGTGGTACCACTCCCATCTCCACCCCTTGATTCCTAGAATCCTGCCTATGGGAGAAACTGTACCATATATATATTGGATGCCAGTTTACAGCACATATAGCCTCCTGGAGAACATTAGCCAACCTGCAAAGTGTTGCCACCTAGATGGCACCACAAAAGTGTCTTTGGAAGGCCATTCCATCATTCTATCAAGCCAGCTGCTTCAGTATGATGGAGAACATGTTAAGACAGCAAATTCCATGAGCCTGGGCCCATTGCCATACTTCATTTGATGTGAAGTGAGTCCCTTGATTTGAGGTAATGCTGTGTGGGATACCATGACGGTGGATGAGGCATTCTGGGAGTCCACCGATGGTAGTTTTCGTAGAGACATTGCATGCAGGAAAGGCAAATCCATATCCAGAGTAAGTGTCTATCCCAGTAAGAAGAAAACACTGCCCTTTCTATGATGGAAGCAGTCAGTCCAATGTAGTCAACCTGCCATCGGGTGGCTGGCTGATAGCCTCAAGGAATGGTGCCATATTGGGAACTCAGTGTTGGTCTCTGGCAGATTGGGAATTCAGCAGTGGTTGTAACCAAGTCAGCCTTGGTGAGTGGAAGTCCGTGTTGCTGAGCCCATGCATAACCTTCATCTCTGCCACCATGGCCACTTTGTTCACGAGCCTATTGGGCAATGATGGGAGTGGCTGGGGAAAGAGGATGACTGATTCCATAGAACATGTCATCCTACCCAGGCTAAGACACAATTCCATTGGCCAAAGTCAGTCAGAAGGCAGGGTTCAGAGTCATGGAGTAGGACAAACACTCCACCCACAAGCAGAGGTCACTGCAAAGTTAGATGTTCCAGGCCTTAGATAAAGGGAGGAGTGAAGAATTTGAGTCACTTCAACAATGTATCACAATCTACCAGTTAGCAAGCAGCCAAGGACCAGGAGCTAGAGTATCTGGGGAGACTCATAGACTTGGTCTGACATGACATGAGAACTTATTCCAGTAGTCCGCAGTCACTTCCCTACTCAGCAAAAATAAACTGGACTGTGTTACCTTCTTGAAGCCCTTCCAAGAGAAGGCTTTCATTGGAAATATCTAGTGGCCCACATCTGATGGGCTACGCATGACTCAGAACCTAGCTAGTGCTACTTCCACCCAAGCCCACTCTTGGTACCAAATGTCTTAGGCTGGGTTCTCTAGAAAAGCAAGCGTACATATATATATATATAGAGAGAGAGAGATTTATCTCAAGGAAATGGCTTATGCAGTTAGAGAGGTTGGCAAGTCCCAAGTCCATGGGTCAGGCATCAGGCTGGAGGCTTCTCCTGACTCACATAGCTACAGGGGCTGACGAACCCAAGATCGGCAGGTTAGATGGCAGGCTGCTGGTTCACAAGCTGCAGAAGCCAACAAATTCCAACATCAACAGGTAAGATGACAGGCTACTGGCTCACAGGCTACAGAGGCTGACGAATCCCAAGATCAGCAGACAATGTGGCAGGCAGCTGGCTCAAGCCCCGAGAACCAGAGGTCAAATGATGACAAGTCAGATGCAGGATCCAGAGCAAGCAAGCGAGCTTGGCCAGAATGTCCATATATATATTGGATGCAGAACACACTCCAGAGGAATCTCCCCTTACAACTGATTAGCTGTTCAAATCAGATCACATCATGGAGAATGACTACATCATTACATACCTGCCAAACCACTGAGAATCATGGCCAAGCCATGCTGACACCCAACCTTAACCATCACAGTTAGAAAATTGAATAACACAATTCAGAGACAAAATATTCCAAGTAAAATGCCATAACAAACTGAGTTTATGATAATATAAATATAACAATGCAAAAGGTTTGGAATGTGTCTTCACTCACTAAGAAGACCATAGATAATGGAGTCAAAGCATGCCTCCTTTGTAGAAAACACACAGCCAACAAACGTAGGTGTAGGCCTTGACTTCCATATAGTATATAATTCTGTAGCCCCTGCCCACTTCATCAGGTGCCCAGAAGAGGCCTGGATGGGTTAGGGATTCATCTTAGTTACGAGGAGTCTTTCGCTGCTGCTGTGTTAGCTCTTTGAATCATATCATTGTTGGCAGGGGTTGGACATTGTTGCCATTTGCCAGCTGTTCAGTGGCTTATGTATGTGTTGGTGGTCTCAGTCCAGTTCTCAGAGGACAGATGGCAAAGAATGGCTCTTTGGGCAAAGGAGACAATGACTCTAGATCCTCTCTTCATCAGCATAGATGGTCCATCTAGGTCAGTGTTGAAAATCACCAGTGGGAATGGTTCAGGGAAGCTGGCCTTGCCAACTAATGAACATATTTGAGCCATGCGTTTATCTCCCTTTGTCATTTATTAAACACATTTTTAAAGCAGTACATGTATTTATATATTAAAACAGGTATTTAATTATATTGTTTTTGTCACAACCACCCCTTTAATGAGTCCTTTCCTCTGTATCTAACCAGTTGATATGGTCTATCTGCCGCCACCTGCAGTCTGGCAGCGTGTACTCATGCAATGTCAGATACAGAATCGTGAGTTTCCGTTGAACAGGTTTGTCTACATGTCGTCACTTACAGCAGCCTAAAAAGACTATTTGCTCTCACCTTTAACCTCTATTATACAACAAAGTGGTTGATTATTTGGACTAAAAATTACAACAAAAAACGGTCTTATATATCAGTTCTATAACTAAGCATTTAATAGATTACACAGCACATGATTTATAGATGCATTGTTTCCAAATAAAAGAGCGGTACTTAGCACACTGATTTTTCCTAACCCTTGTGACAAATCCACCCCAGTCATTGAAACCCTCAATGCCAGGGTGGAGCTCTTCACTATTGTATTCTGATTTTGTTTTCCATCTACTAGTCTATAAGCGGAAGCCCTTGTGGTGTAGTGGTTAAGAACTACGGCTGCTAACCAAAAGGCTGGCAGTTCGAATCTACCAGGCGTGCCTTGGAAACTCTATGGGGCAGTTCTACTCTGTCCTATATGGTTACTATGAGTCGGAATCAACTCGACGGCAATGGGTTAGTCTATAAGGCATGTAGGTACAACTCAAAAAGTATTTTAAATTCGAAGAAGCTGAGTTTTTTGTTGTTATTGTGGTTGGTTGGTTTTCTCTGTTCCTCAACTATATTCAAAGGGTGGCAAAATTAATATTGCAAGCTGACATTACATTAGGCATTCTTCTATAATTACAGCTGCCTCTGTCGATGTATCTCCAACATAGGAGTTTCTCCAGAAGGTATTTTTCTTCCTGAGGCATACACAATGCATTCAATGGCACCAGAGTTTCATTACAGGAATTCTCTTGTCCCTTCCTTCACATGGAAAAGTCATTAACTGTATTAAGTTAACTCTCCGAATGTTAGGTTCTTAACCAATAAACAGTGCTTTTCCACAAGGGCATATTTCGCCAAGCGTCCTTGAATCAGAACAGGCTGAATAAACAGTAACAGATTCAGGACCACACTGTGGGGTTGTGATCCTATTTAGGAAGAACCGTTTTTTATTTATTAACTTTTTCCTTCTATCACGGTTCCTCCGTTTCTTCCAATACCTTCAGCCTTTCAGGTAAATGAAAAGTTCACTTGTATGTAAAGCAACTGTTAAATCAGCAGGCCCCTTGTGGGGGTCTGCGCCTCCCCTCCCTGCTTCCCTCACAAGTGTGCTCAATCCATTACTGCTCCTGAGGATTGTACATCCACCAGGTCAAGTGTGCCGGCCAGGGTGCATCTTATGGCTTTTACTGCATATGAGACATTGCAGTCCTGTGCTCAGGAACTGCCAGGCAGACTGGGAATCACAGTCACGGTTAATAGCAGCGAATTGCCAGCTCTTGATGGGTGGGTAGTCACTCCTTTCAGCGGTTGCCCCCTGGGGGAGAAGGTAGAAAAACAGAGGGAGGGAATTAGAGTGACTTTGCACAGTCGAGCAGGTTCATGCCGCTGGATCAGTGGCAAGCATTGGCAGGGCTCCACTCTGGGGAGGCTCACAACAGCATCACAGTCTCATTTTTACCAATTGGTGCTGCTGTATCGCCAGTGGTGCACAGGGGGAGGGCAGGGGGAGGGTGGGCTGGGAATGGGGAAAAGGGATGAAGGCGGAAGTCTAAGCGAAATTAAACAAACAAAAAGTCATGAGCAAACTGGTTAGCCCACCGCAGTTAGCCCTGTGCTACTAATTGTACCAAACTGGTGTTTGAAGTTCCCTGGGTGATTAAAAAGTTGGCTCACAAACTCCCTGCATAACCTTAATTTTTTCAAGGTTCTTCGAGTGGAGAATGGTTTATAATAATGATTTTGACTAATACGATTTTTGACATGCAACTTTAATGCTTAACCTTAGTACAACTCCAGAGCATTTCATGTGTACTCAGCTGTAAAGAGTGATGATTTAAAGGGATAATATAAGAAAAAGGTCGTTCTAGAATGAACCTCTAACAAATTGCATAAAGGGAGCTTATTATTCCATGAGTATGGGGATATGCAGCTCTTCTGATCATTTTTCTGCTTGGTTCAAAAAATTGTTGAGACATGAACGGGAGAAGAAACAGGAAAAAATGAAATAGAAATCTGCAAGCAAGGAACATTCTTTTGATGGTTATGATTTTGTTGCCACTAAAAAGACTCTACAATAATGTGGTTATTCATCTCCTCTTTGTTTTGGGTGAAGAATTCGCTCTAACAAGAAAATGCTGTTGTTGGTTGGAGGGTTGCCTCCTGGACCGGACCGGCTCCCCAGCAATTTGGTTCAGTATTATGATGAAGAAAAGAAGACGTGGAAAATACTCACAAGTGAGTGGACTTCTTTATTTATTTATCCACCTATTTATTTCAGGTTAGAGCTATCTTGATGAATTCGAAAACATGGTTAATCAAATTAGACATTTTATTGATTTGTTACCCTTTGGAGGTTTGTTTATGTATCACGGGGATTTAGAGTAAAAGAGTAAATTAACATTGCAGAGGTGGCCAATTTGGTAGTCGAATAGGCCTAAATTAAAACTGGCCTAAGTTACTGTACTGGTTTATGTTTCTGTGTGAGCTGGGGCACAGAATTTCCGAAAGAAATTCTCCGGTTATTTTCTTTGGTAATTGAAAAGTGAAGGATTGTTTAATCGCACTAGTACGTTTTCCCACTTTGAATTTTCTCATATCAAAATGGCTATTTAGTACGTTGTCTCTGTAACTAGCACACATGCTGCCATTTAGGCATTTTTGCTTATTAATTTTTAGTCTGGAGAACCTGGTCTTTAGAGAAACACCCCCTCGTACTGCTCCACAGCTTGGATGGACAGATATATTCATGGCCTATCCCAGCCACATGAAATTGTGCTTGCAGACTTCCACCCAAGATTTCTCCTCCTCCCCTCCTTAAAGGGTGATTGTGTTTTACAGCAAACCTCTTGCCTTGGGCACTGAGATTTGGAACTTATTGTTCTATCCGTTATGATTCCCAATCTGACTCAGTCATGGAATCAAAAGTCATCATTTCTTGAGTGCGGTAGGCTGTGTGCACCAGTTCCCTTGTGGGCACGGTGGCTGCACTGGTCAATAAAAGTAAATTTTAACTGTCAAAATTGCCCAGAGCTGTATAGATAAAATAATAAATGAACAATTTTGATCCATAAATCAAAGCTCTACGTTTAAAACCAACAAAAGTGAAAGTTGAATTTTCTTATTGCATGTGTCTTTTAAGCAGTTATATATTTTATCAGCTTTTTTTTTTTTAAATCACTTCCTTTCCTCTTCCTGAAAGCCCTTTAGAATAATAGAAACAGGACAACAGTTTGCCTATAAGAGCAGAAGAGGAGTAAAGACACGTGAGGTGGTGCTTGAAATAATACATTTCTGAGCTGGCTTACCCCAGCGAAACCTGCAGTAGCATTGTCCAAGAACTGCAGTGAGAAAGCTCCCTGGACACCTCTTCACTCTGGTTGTAGTAAAGAAATGGTGCAATAGTAGCATCAAGATTAAGGAGAAGAAAGAAAGAAAGAAAAATAAGTTAGAGATGTCTTCAAATAATTTTTATTCTTTCTTGACAAAAATACTGTTAATAGTGGTTTAAACATCTGAATGAGTCACCAAGCTATATTTTAGAGATTCCTCAGAGCGAAAGCTAAAGTAAAACCAAAGAATCCACTTCTGACACTTGAACAATAAAGAAAGCCTACACAGAATGAGACATGGAGGCCAGGAGGAGAGAGGGAAGAGGAAGACAACAGAGAAAAAGAGACTAAGGAATAGGGAAATTCATTCACAGACTCATCTTTTTTTCCCAAAAACACCAGGCTAGGTTCAATTTGTAGCCCTTTTTTAAAGGCAAAATGATAAATTAAAACATTGTGAACAATACCTAAGAAAAGTCTTGTGTTCATTTTGAATTTCGGCAGAAATAGGGTGACCATCCGACTTATTGTCCAAACTGAAACACTTTTGAGTATGAAAGGGGGAGCTATTAACTACGCTAGGAGAACAGGTACAGTAGGGAAACGATGGCTGCCCCACTCGAATTTTTATACACTACCTGACTTAACTCTCTACTTGGAGGGATATGGCAAGAAAGCATGACCTTTGAATCAGACAGACCTGGGTTCAAACCCAGATCTATGACCTTGAAAAAGTCATGTAGACGTTCTGAGTCATGGTTTCTTCATTTTGTTGAGGTCTTTTGAGTATTTTTAAGATAAAATTATGTTTACAAATTATGTAGCACATAGCAAAACCAAACAAAAAAAACCAAACCCATTGCCATCAAGATGATTCCAACTTGTAGTGACCCTATAGGACAGAGTAGAATGGCCCAATAGGGTTTCCAAGGAGTGCGTGATGGATTCGAGCTGCCAACGTTTTGGTTAGCAGCCGAACTCTTAACTACTATGCCACCAGGGTTTCCAGCATATAGCAAGCACTTAGTAAATTGCAGCTACTCTTGCTATTATTGTAACACCACTACCAGTATTAGAACACGGACGATACCTTTCTACATTAGAGACATCAGTCAGCACAAGCATTCCATGCACTGGAGACGCAAATGACACTACGACAAATACAACACTTCAACCCACTTGCTCTGGAGGAGGGAACCTATTTCCATAGTTTCCGTACGCTGCGTGTAATCGCCTACAGACTAAGAAGTAAAGATAAATGGGCATCTGTTGACTCAAATTCAATGAAATAAAGACATTAATATATAAATAAAGAAAAGTTCTTATAATGGGAGTATATTCAAGGAGTTTAAACTCTCTCTATACTCAGGCACAGCTCCAGCTTTGAAAGAAATGTGTACTCTACTTAACATTCTTCATTTCACTGGGAACTTCTACTTTTAAAAATAGAGTTTATCACCATCTAGGCTGAGACTATATGGCCCCAAGTGAAAGCATGTTTTCCAGATTTCTTGAAAAAATATTGACAGTTAATTTGGATAATTTCTGCTGTTAGTTTATATTTTTAAGTTTAGGTGTCTTATTTGGCTACATTTAATAAACAGGTCAGGTAACTGACAGATTTCCACATTATTTGGGCCACATAATAATAAATGAAGAAATGTTTCTCATGGGGTAAGAAATTCTCCAAATTCTCCCCAAATCCAACAAAACATTACGGATCGCAGAATTTCCCACTGTCATTCTTTTGACCCAGAAAACTGCTGAACTAATTGGACAGTCTCCTTCTCGTTTGGGGTCTGCTTATATATTGGATGACTGTCTTCACAAACTAACAAATTAGCTAACAAAAACCCAAAACCTGACGTTAGCTAGAGCCTCTGAGTCTTAGAATATTTTTCCCACTTGGCTGGAGCAAACATTTGTCAGCATGTCTCAAACACGCTCCCTTCTAGAAAGGCAGGAGCACAAATATTCACTTATGGGAACCGCAGTAACTTACACAAATTATGTAACAAAAAAGAATCAAAGGAACGACCAGTAATAATTTCCTTTAGGTCTTCTCCTGTTATGTTATTTATAATTCTAGAGACACTACATAAAAAGTACACTTAAATAACAAATAGAATGGAGTGGAGGTGAGTGGGAGTGAGAAAGCGCTCTATATAACAGAAAGAAAACAAAATCCAAACTGTCAGCTAACCAGCATTCTGGTCTACCCAGAACCAAAGAGCATGGTTATTCTCACTGAAAAGTCTGTTTTGGTATCATGCTGGCACAACTGGCATTTTTATCCTTATCTTTGGAAAAATCATTTCATATAACATTATAAAACTGATGTTGAGAATAGTGACAGTGCTTCCAGCCTCTATCAGAAAAGTATTGGGAGATATCATGTAAAAATGAGGGTAAAGCCCTTTTGTAAATGTGAAGTGTTAAGTAATAACAATAAAACTGGCATTGTTGTTCTCTTGACTGTTAATAATAAAAGGGAAGTTGAAATGCACTTTCATTCATTTTTATTTTACAGTACTGCTTTTCTTGCACTTCTCACTCCTGCATGCAGTCTCCCGTTTCATTCTTAACTTATTAGAAAGCAGTACAGGAGACATGAATACTAAAACAGCCAATGCAAAAAACATGCCTCTTGCACTTTGCAGGCCCTAAATCCTTGGTGCAAAGATCCAAGAAAATAATTCCCAGGGCCACCGGGTACTTTTTGTGACAGATTTCTTACATACTAAAGTTTCTATGAAGTCCACATGTGGACCCTCCCTTTACATTACACCCCAGGAATCAGCATTTGAAGCACTGCCTATTGAATTTTTTTTTTTTTTTTTGGTACATATTTTATTTATTTATTTATTTTTATTGAACTTCAGGTGAAGGTTTACAGAACAAACTAACTTCTCATTAAACAGTTAGTACATGTATTCTTTTATGGCATTGGTTAACAACCCCATGACATGTCAGTACTCTCCCTTCTTGACCTTGGGTTCCCTATTACCGGCTTTCCTGTCCCCTCCTGCCTTTTAGTCCTTGCCCCTGGGCTGGTGGGCCCCTTTAGTCTCGTTTTGTCCTATGGGTCTGTCTAATCTTTGTCTAAAAGCTGAACCTCCACAGTGACTTCATTTTTGGGCTAAAAGGGTGTCCGGGGGCCATACTCTCGGGGTTTCTCTAGTCTCTGTCAGACCAGTAAGTCTGGTCTTTTTATTTTTTAGTTAGAATTTTGTTCTACATTTTTCTCCTTCTCTGTCCTGGACCCTCTCTGTTGTGACCCCTGTCAGAGCAGTCAGTGGTGGTAGCCGGACACCATCTAGTTGTACTGGATTCAGTCTGGTGGAGGCCTTTGGACTAATCTTTGCCTCGTGTCTTTAGTTTTCTTCATTCTCTCTTGCTCCTGAAGGGGTGAGACCAATGGAGTATCTTAGATGGCCGCTCACAGTCTTTAAGACCCCAGATGCTACTCACCAAAGTAGAATGTATAACATTTTCTTTATAAACTGCATTATGCCATTTGAGCTAGATGTTCCCTGCGACCATGGTCCCCACAGCCCTCAGCCCAGCAATTCAGTCCCTTAGGGAGTTTGAATTTGTCCGTGGCGCTTCCATGACCTTACCCTGAACAAGCTGTGCTGGCTCCCCCAGTATTGTGTACTGTCTTACCCTTCACCATTGTTACCACTTATCTATTGTCTATTTTGTGTTTTTCTACCCCTACCCCCCCCCCATAACCATCAAAGATTGTTTCTCTTTGTGTGTAAATCTTTTCATGAGTTTTTATGGTAATGGTCTCGTACAATATTTGTCTTTTTGTGATTGACTTATTTCACTCAGCATAATGTCCTCCAGATTCATCCATGCCTATTGCATTTTTAATCTCCACTGACCAATTTCTTTACTGGT